GCCTGCGACCCAGGAGACCAGGCTTCAATTCCTGGGTCGGGAAGATCCCGAGGAGAAGGGAATAGCAACCCACTCCAGCATTCTTGCCTGGAGAGTCCCATGGACAGAGAGGAGCCTGGCTGACTACAGTCCATGGGGTCGCAGAAGAGTTGGACACAGTTGAGTGAGTAGCACTTTCACTTTTCCTTCCCTGCCCTTCTCAAGTGGTTCCCCGAAGAGTCACTTCAGATTACAGGGGGAGGACGTTCCTTAAGTCCCCCAGAGCTTTATCCTCACACTCAAATGCTAACTCCTGAACTCCCTGCTCCCACTAAGTAGTTCAAAAGCTCTGAGGGATCCTTGGAACAGTCACACCCTGGTGGGACTTTTCAGAGCCCTCCCAGGGTCGGGAGAGAAATTGCAGGGTAACTGCAAAATAGCATGAGCTCTAACCGGCTTGAGTGATCTCCTGGCTGGATTGCGGGGGTCAGCCAGCACGTTTGAAGGTTGCTGAATACCTGTTGACCCATGTGCCCCAACTGGGTGAACTCCGTCTGCCTTTTCATTCCTGACTAATTGCAGCAAACAATACACCCGCTCGTCTTCTGTAAAAGGAGAGGGGTGAGCGTTCCCACCAGCCTTGCCGCCTTGGGGGGGCAGGTCAGTTGACTGCCTTGAAGCTCCACTTATTCATCTGAAAAATGAAGGGACTTGGCGAGATGCCCTGCAATGTGACTTCCAACACTAGCATTTTTATGTCGGGCAGTGATCCTTTGTCTGGGGTGTGCTATTTTTTCCATAGGAGCCGTTCGGCTGTTGCCAGGTAGCTTGTCATCTTGGCAAGAAGCAGCATGATGAGGTGGCCAGAATATAACCTTTGGAGTCAGTGACCCGAGTCAAAACGAGCACCCCGACCCATGGCCAGCCGGGCACCTCTTGCCACTTTGGGTGTTCCCGCCAGCCCTCAGGTCTCCTCACCTGCAGAAAGGGAATGAGGACACCCGGCAGCTTCACTGGGTGTTAATATATATCGAGCATTCCCGCCAGCCCTCAGGTCTCCTCACCTGCAGAGAGGGAGTGAGGACACGCGGCAGCTTCACTGGGTATCTACCCTTTGGCTCTTTTTCCAAACGGTTTTATTGAGATACAGTTCATACAACAGAAGATTTATCCTTTTGAAGTACAACTTAATTTTTAGTACATTCACAGAGTTGTGCGTTGATTATTACACATCTGACTCCAGAGCACTTTTCGCACTCCCGCAAAGAAATCCCACACCCGTTAGCAGTCACTCCCCGTCCTCCCCTCCCCCTCATCCTTAGACCATCTCATCTGCTTTCTGTCTCAGTGGGTCTGCCTGGCCCGGACGTTTCATATAAATGGAGTTCTAGAACACGTGGGCTGTTGCGTCTGGCCTCTTCTGCTGAGTGTAACGTTTTCACGTTTCGTTCCCGTTGTAGTGTGTATCAGCACTTCCGTCCTTCTCATCACCAGGCAGCGTTCACCGTATGGATGCGCCGTACATACCGCGCCTGGTGGGCCTTGCGTTGTTCCCACTCCCTGGCTGTTACGAGTAATGCTCTGATCACTGCTGTACGAGTTTTCATGTGGACGTGTTTTCTCCCTTCTCTTGGTGTCTCGTGATTTTGATTTGCATTTCTTTATTGACTAGTGTTGATGAGCATTGTTCGTGAGCTTATTAGCCATTTGTGCATCTCCTTTGGAAAAATGTCTACTCAGATTCTTTGCTCGTTAAAAAAATTGGGTTATTTGTCTTTTTTTATTGTTGAGTTGTAAGGCTTCTTAATTTATTCTAGATACTGTTCCTGCCTTTAAAATCGGCATGCAGTCGATGTTAATTGCTCTTACCAGGATTCTCAGAAATCTGTAACCTTTTAGGTGATACCTAGAACTAACTGCCCAGATATTGAATGTCCAGTATCCTGAGTCTTTTTTTTTTTTAATATATATTTATTTATTGGGTCTTAGTTGCATCACATGGGATGTTCATTGTGCATGCAACCTTTAGGTTGCAGTGTGTGGGTTCAGTTGCCCTGCAGCATGTGGGATCTAGTTCCCTGACCAAGGATCGAACTCACATCCCCTGCATTGGAAGGCAGCTTCCTAACCACTGGACCATCAGGGCAGCCCCTGAGGTTTTTTTTCCCCTTTTGGTCTTCATTGCTGGGCAAGGCTCTCTCTCGTTGAGGTGAGCAGGGATTGCTCTTCCTTGCGGAGCACAGTCCTCTCATTGTGGTGGCTTCTCCTGTTGTGGAGCACAGGCTCTGGACACAGGCTCAGTAGTTGTAGCACACAGGCTTTAGTTGCCCACAGCGTGTAAAATCTTCCCAGACCAGGGATTGAACCCACATCCCCTGCATTGGCAGGCGGATTCTTATCCTCTGTACCACCACGGAAATCCAGTATCTTGGGTCTTAAATCCTATACTTCTGTCTCTTGTAAAGCTCTTAACACAGAGTCCTCAGCCTTTTTGATCCTCAAGCCCAAATTTGGAACCTAGAATCAGGGGTAGTGATTGAGGGTCTAGAAAGGAGTTCTGGTGGGACCCATGGAGCAGTGGCTATTTCTAAGTCTTGTTTTTTTTTCTGGATAGAGAATGTAGAGGTGGGGGGTAATTGTACAGCTTTCTTAGCTGCTGCTGCTCTAGGGTATCCTTTATCCTGTGTTGTGGGCACCGGGGTGTCAGGGCTGAAGACCACGTGGAGGTACATCTGAGAACGTCATCTTCTTTCCATAGTGCCGCTGCCACGGTGAGTCACGTGTTTTCCAAGAACTATTTGGCAATTTCAAGTCGTATATAAAAATGTCCCAAGGAAAGTCACGGGTCTGTGTTAAAGAGAAGGGAGTTTTATGGGAAACCCTGGAAGCTACTGAGAGGACCTGGAAATGATTCTGTGTCCTGAGACCCATACTCAGCATCTGAGACATGTCCTGTCCCTGCTGCTTCTATGTCTTTGCAGCCACCGTCCTCTCTCCCCGTTTCCCCAGCCTGGATGGGTAACCACTCCCTTTCTGCCGACTCAAATCAGATCACCCCTCAAGGCCCAGCAAGGTCTCCTGCCCCTCCAGAAGCCTCTCGGGGCCTCTGAAGTTAGGGTTCCCTTCTCGCCACACACCAGGGGAAGGAAGCCTCCCAGAGAAGCAGAGGCCTTTGGCAGTCCCGCCTGGATGGACCCCTTGGGAGCGAGCACCACCAGTTTTCAAAACTGTCAAGTCACACATCTGCCCTGAAGACATGGCCTTACCTGGGATGTGGATTTGAAGGGTTTTGGACAGATATCATTGATTTCTCCCCTTAAGTCAGTTAGGAGAGTTTCAGATCACTTTAATGCCCAGGAAATTCCCTCTAGAGGACAAAGCCAGTCCAGTTGCATTTGGATGATGGCTTCTTACTTTTAAAAGGGTAGGAGGTCCCTCCAGATACGCAAGTCCACTGTCACGCAGCTTGTCTCTGTCTCCTTGCTGCTTCCCTGCACATGTGGACCTGCCGCTGCCTGGCTGCCACCTTCTTGATTTCTCAGAAAAGCCCACTCTACCCTCAGAAAGTGTGTCATCTACTTGGAAGGGTGAGGTAAGTCAGAAAATTGTCCATTGTTAGAGCCAACGCATTCCTTGGAGATTATCCAGTCTAATATTTGCCAATCTCCCATGTTGACTGAAAGCCATTAAGTGCTTTATGTGGAAAAGGAAAGGTTTCCTTTGATAAATGACCCTGGGCTGTGGGGCATGTTTGTGTGGCCCTCTTGGAGACTCGCAATGTGCAAAGGCTCTGAGAAGTCCTGCAACAAAGACAACAGCTTAATTTTATTTAACCCGGCCTTCCTTAAACCATTTTGATCACAGGTTTTGTTCTTCTTTTTCCATAACAGATATTTATAGCTCCCAGGTCACTAGGCACACTTTGGGAACCGTTACCTCGTTCACTGACAAGGAAACCTGTGTTCAGAAATACTAGATGACTTGCTCAACGTGAACACAAAGCCAGACTTGAAACCAAATCTTCCAACTCCCAATCCATTGTTCTTTTTACAAATAATAACCATAGCATGCTTGAAAGAGGGTGTTTAAAACATTGTCATTCACAATATTAATGAAAAACCCACAGGCTTTAGGATAATAGTGACCTGTATGTGAGCCCTGGTCCTGTCATTTTACTAGACTGTGACCTTCAGCTAAGCCTTTTAGTCTCTCTGTGTCTCTTCGTTTGTAAGGAGAGGGTGACAGTTACAGCCTCATAGGGTTGGTGTGAGGAGGAGATGAGATGGTATACAGCTCGAGTCTGTGTTCATATCTTTGATTCCTCAGACTTTTCTCCTTAGACCAGGTGCTGAACCCCCCTTGTCTATGATTTTTAAAGGCTTAAGCATATTACAGACACCGAGAAATCAATAACAGTGATCATAGTGGATGGTGTTGACTTATAGGATAAAGGCACGTGGGATAGCAGCAATTATCTATGGAAATGCAGAGCTGCATTGAGCTGCTAAATATTCATGGAATTAAGGGGTCACTGGTGGAGGGATGGGCTTGAACGTGTAGATTGCAAGGGGCCTGATGGGCAGCCTCTGTCCAAGGTAGGAGCCGTTCAGATCTCAAGCCCCCCCGCCTTCCCTTTCTCCATCCCCACAACAAGGAAACGTGGTGAAGGTTCCTTGTAAAACACATAGCAGTTTGCCTTGAGAATACAATTTATTTTAAAACATTTGGCAACAAAGTTTGTCCCAGGTGGGAGAAGTAAACCTTCATGTGACAGGTTGCGGGAGAATGGGGCAGTGCAGGGCCCAGAGTTCAGGATGGCAGAAGGGGCTCCCAGGGCTGTGACGGAGCACAGGTTTCCCCAGGGCAGAAATTATCCTCACCTCCCCAGTCCATCCCCCCAACCACAAAACTTGCCCATGTGACTTTTGCACTTTTGCAGAGGAATTTAGTATCTGTGGTTTTCGGTCAAGATGGGAGATTGGAAAAGATTAGATTGAATAATCTCCAAGGAAACTTCTGGCTCTAACAGTGGACAATTTTCTGATTTATTTCACCCTTCCAAGTAGATGACATACTTTCTGAGGGTAGAGTGGGCTTTTCTGCGAAATCAAGAAGGTGGCAGCCAGGTACCGGCAGGTCCACACATGTAGAGAAACAGGAAGGAGACAGAGACAAGCTGCGTGACAGTGGACTTGCATATCTGTCTAATGTGAAGCTCGGACATTTGTTTACCACCAGCCTGGAGGGAACACAAACGAGCCTGCTACTGGGTTGCCAATTGCATCAATGAGGGCAGCTTTCCTGGGATCAGCCCCAGCCCTCGGCCAGGGGTGTATTAGGACTAACAGGCGACAGGCCCCGAAGGCCCTGTCCCTTTGACACCCCCCTCGCATCCCCACCCCCTGCCACCGTCCAGTTGCTCCCTGGATGCCCCGAGGTCCTCGCCCCCTTCTCTCTGCCAGTTTCCTGGCAGGTGGTTTGGGGAGCAGTCTGCGGTCGACAGTAAATCACCCTCCCCGGGCTCTGCCGTGGCGAGGGGACTGGCGGAGGGGGTGCCGGCTTGCGTCGTGCTGCAGCTGCTCTGGGCACACAGGCCCCTTCGCCTGGCACCAGCATGCGACGTGCCAGCCCCGCCTGCCCCGCCAGGTGCTGGGACGGTGCGGGGCTGGGCGTGCTGCTGGCACCCAGCACGTCACAGCTTCCCTCATTTATTTACCTCGAATCAAACAAACCCCGGCTCCTGCTTTGAATGGCGACTGCAGTTTCACAGGATGACAGAAGGGCAGCCGTGTCTGCGGAACTGCCTGCTGTGGGCTTTCCCGAGACCGCTGTCTGGCATGGCTCTTGGGGACTTCAGAGGCCACTCTGGGAAACAGCGTGGCAGTTCCTTAAAAGGTTAAACCCAGAGTTAGCACACAACTCAGCAGGTCCACTCCGGAGTCTCCACCCAATAGACCTGCAAACGTCTGTCCACACGGACTCCCGAACACGAGTTCTCAGCAGCGTTGTCCAGAAATATAGCCAGAAACTAGAAACGACCCAGATGTCCATCAGCTGACGAATGCGTCAGCGAATGTGCTGTATGCAGTCCATGGCACATTGGTAGTAAAAAGGAATGAAATGCTGATACATGCTACGACAAGGGTGAACTTTTAAAAATGAGGTTAAGTGGAAGAAACCAGATACAAAAGGCCACATTATCTGATGTAATTTATATGAATTGTCCAGAATAGGTAAATCCATGGAGACAGAAAGCAGATTAGCTGTTGCCAGGGGCTGGAGGAGAGGGAACAGGACTGCTAATGGGTGTGGCATTTCTGTCGAGGGGAGTCAGAATGTTTGGAATTATTTAGTATATAGTGATGGTGATCGCCCAACTCTGAATAGACTACCAGCCACTGAACTGTGTTTTAAAAGAAACTGTGTTTTATGATATGTGATTGTAGGTCAGTAAAGCTTTACTTAGAAAATGGCTCTGAACTTGCCGTTGCAGTATAGTGCTCTGTGGACATAGATGTATACGCTAGAAAACAAATGAAAAGAGCGGAGAGGAGAAGCACCAGGTGGCGGGTTGGGGGTGAGACATGCTTTGAGGGGACATCGAATGTCCTCTGAAATCCATGACATCTGTTCAAATTTTGGTGGTACCCTGAACTTCCTAATTTCAACCCCCCATCTGCACATAAGTTCCAGTTGAACCCAGAGTTCAGATGAGAGTTCACCCTCACCTACTGAAAACACATTTTATTTGGAAATAATTTTAAACTTAACAAAAATAAAAATAATGCGAAGAATAGCCCCATTCTTTCACCAGGTTCTCCGGTCATCATTCTGCACCATTTGCTTTTATCATTGCATTCACTCACACGTTCCCTCTTTCTCACTTCCACTCTGTTGTCACACTTGTGTGTGTGTGCATACATATTTATATATATGTAAATGCTACTTGCTCTGAGTGATTTGAGGGTGAGTTATAAATATCATGGCCACTGATTTCTGCACCATCTAATACAGTAGCCAACAGCCGCAGAGGGCTATTTAAATTAAAAGTCCATAAAATATGGAACTTCCCTGGTGGCTCAGTGGTTAAGAATCCACCTTGCAACGCACAGGACTCGGGTTCAGTCCCTGGTTGGGAAAATAAGATCCCACATGCCGCAACTAAGGCCTGACACAGTCAAATAAATAAATATTTTAAAAATATTTTTTAAGAAAGTAAAATGTAAAAAAGTTCCTGGGTCACACCAGCCGCACTTTCAAGTGTTTGGCAGCCACGTGCAATTGGTGGTGACTGTGTGGGTCAGAAGAGGTTTCGGGCGTTTCCAGCCCTGTGCAGAGCTCGAGTGGACGGCCCTGCCTCCCCCACGCTCCTCGTGTGTGCCCTGTGTCCTGAGGACAGGGCGCCGTGCAGTTCCCAACTCAGGAGAACTTAGCCCTGATTCAGAGCTCCCGTCTCAGCCACAGTTCGTACTCCAGTTTTGTCAGTAGACCCAGTGATGTTCTCATTCCTTGTGGAATGAGGTCTGCAGTCTTGTCTGTGGCACAGATCGGCCTGGTCTGTGCTCGGGGGAAGCATGTGAACCACATAGAGACGGTTCAGATTTGTGTTGGGGGTTCCTTCCCTGTGGCTCTTCTTTTCACAAACTTGAATCCTTTCTCTAACTCATGTGCTGGGGCCAGCTTGCATTTCCTTAGCTCAAAAGTGACCTTGCAGGAAACTTCCCTGGCAGTCCAGTGGTTAAGACTTCACCTTCTCATGCAGGGTGTTGCTGGTTCGATCCCTCATCAGGGAGTTAGGCTCCCATGTGCCGTGGGGCCAGAAAACTAAAACATAAAACAGAAGCAATATTGTAACAAATTCAGTGAAGACTTTAAAAATGGCCCATATTAAAAATCACTAGATATCTTTGTCACGGGCCGGAGAACCCCCTTCCCTGTTCAACACTGATGTTGGGTGTCTGAGCAGGTGAAGAAGCACTGCTCTTAAAGCAGCGGGAAAGATTTCCTGTGAGACGAAGACAACTGGCCTCCCCAGCAACTGCACTCTTTTGCTTTTATTCTGATAACTTTCCACATTTCAGCCTGCAGTCAAAAGCCTCATCTTGTTGCCCGTTTGTTTTCTGTTTTGTGGCTGAGTCGTGATTCCGGGGCTCTACATCACTTCGCAGGGCCGCTGGGGCTCCGAGGAGCCTCCTGCCTGAACCCATCATGGAGTAGAGGCCAGGGGGTCCCCGCCTGGGGTTGCCCTGCCCACTTGCCCAGGTGCTTCCAACCCTGGCCCACCTTCAGCCCACTTCACCCCCGTCCAGGGAAACGTGGACTCTGGTGATCTTTCAGCCATACTTTGGATAAGATGTGGGGGAAACAAGCAGATTGCAGAGCGGTTTCTACTGGTGTTGGCTCACCCTCCAGGGGGTTCCTGGTGACTTCATGGAATTTTACGGCAGAGTAAGAATAGAAAACAGATTCCTGGGTTGCTGACTTCACTTCCACAGGGCACCATTCCCATGACTCTTTATCATGTGGAGAGTGTGAAAGCTGGGAAGCAAGAAATCTACAGGCTTATGCATTTCGCCTTTCTTATATTTCTTTCCATTTGCCCCTTAGAACGTATGCTCATACCTTCTCCCACCTTGTAGTTTGATTCAGCATTTCTTAGAAAAATGTTCAGCAGAAAAAAGATAAGAATCACCGAAGAACTCAGTGGGGATCTTACATGAGCTGTATAGCTTGAGCCAAGAAAGAAAGAAGAAATGGAGTCCTGCAGAGAGTGGAAATGGAACTGATAGCTTCATTTTCCAACTGAAAAAGAATGCAAAGGGCTTGGCTGGCAGGGTCAGGACCTTGAGGCGGGGCAGCAGGCGCAGTGGAGTTTCTGCCCTTCCCTGCCTTCTGAAAACTGACCCGGGAAGGACTTGCAGTACCAGGTCCCCTCCCCATTTGCAGGAGTGAGCTGAGTGCATTTGATGCTGGTGAAAGACTCAGAGCCCTGGCACTGCCTCCAGCCATCAGAGGAGAACATAGGTTCGTGTGCTCTGCATTCACGTCTTCTGTATAACACGAGGTACCCTAGGGACTTCCCTGGTGGTCCAGAGGTTATGACTCTGTGCATCCAACACAGGGACTGCAGGTTCAGTCCCTGGTCAGGGACCATCCCACATGCCTGGTGGGGCAGCAAAAAAAATTTTTTAAAGAAGTACCTAATTGGCCAAATTGTTCTGATTGATCCGTGCGTTTCTTTAAGGGTTTCTGTATGTCCTCCCTCAGGGTTGCAGGTCTTCGAGCTTAAGGACTAAGGTTCTGTGTTCTCTGAGAGCGTCCCAGCTTCAGCCGAGGCCAGCATCACAGGACAGGGACACATAGGCCCAGCCTGAGCACTGGTTTGTTTCAGGCCTTGGAGGTAACACGCACTGAGTATTGGGCAGGCTAGGGGCTGGCAGGAGGGCGGTGGGGGTGGGGGGTGTCCTTTGCCAACGAGTGCCCCCTGCTTTCTGCTGACGGGGTTTCCTCGGGGAAACACTGCAGCCACCCTGTCCCTGGTGTGTCCCAGCTCTTTCTGGCAGCGGAGTCCTCATTCCCTGGGAGCCCCTGTGTTCCCAGGGCCCACTGCCCAGGCGGCCTGGCCATGCCCACCAGGCCATGCCTCCCTCGGCCACGCCAGGAAAGGGACCAGCCTTCCCCTGGGCTGTCACTGTGACGCAACATTATCGTGGACGCCTCTCCTGGCTTCTGCCTTCCCCACCGGTTGCCAAGGTCTTTAACTGCCCCTTGGTCTCTTGTCGGTGACCTTGCTTTAGTTCCACACGATGCCACGGTTCCTCCAGGATCTTACCTCCCAGATGCGCCTCCAAGGTGAGCAGTTTGCCTCCAGGCTTCTGCCCCAAGTCTGTTTTTCCATCCCATAGCCCTGCTATCCTTTCCTCCCCAGCTCTCCCCTCAAGCACCTCTGCAACCCCTTACCCTCTCCCGGATACAGGTGAAGTCTGGCACAAAGGCCCTACGCATCTAACTCCAGTCTCTCCAGGTTCATTTGCACTGTCCCTGCAGGAGCCCCCCCCACAGTCAGACCCTTCTTCCTTGTGCTCCCTCTAGATGGCTTCTGCCCTGCTTTTGTCTTAAGTGATCTAATTTTTACATTGTACCTGCAAAAACTACCCCAGGTCCTGTGGGCTTATAAAACTTAACACCAGCTCTCATCTTAGTCCCTAAGCCCAATGTGTGTCCCCTGGCCTCTGTGCTCCATTGGCCCCCTTCTTCCTCTTGGGGTGTTCTCCTGTGCCTCCACCCTCCCTGTGACCCCTCTAGCCAGTCGGTCAGTAACGGTTATGCCTGCCTTCTGCGGTCAGTTATCTTGTCTCATTATCACTCATCTTGTTGGTCTCTTGATCACAGGACAGGGACACATAGGCCCAGCCTGAGCACTGGTTTGTTTCAGGCCTTGGAGGTAACACGCACTGAGTATTGGGCAGGCTAGGGGCTGGCAGGAGGGCGGTGGGGGTGGGGGGTGTCCTTTGCCAACGAGTGCCCCCTGCTTTCTGCTGACGGGGTTTCCTCGGGGAAACACTGCAGCCACCCTGTCCCTGGTGTGTCCCAGCTCTTTCTGGCAGCGGAGTCCTCATTCCCTGGGAGCCCCTGTGTTCCCAGGGCCCACTGCCCAGGCGGCCTGGCCATGCCCACCAGGCCATGCCTCCCTCGGCCACGCCAGGAAAGGGACCAGCCTTCCCCTGGGCTGTCACTGTGACGCAACATTATCGTGGACGCCTCTCCTGGCTTCTGCCTTCCCCACCGGTTGCCAAGGTCTTTAACTGCCCCTTGGTCTCTTGTCGGTGACCTTGCTTTAGTTCCACACGATGCCACGGTTCCTCCAGGATCTTACCTCCCAGATGCGCCTCCAAGGTGAGCAGTTTGCCTCCAGGCTTCTGCCCCAAGTCTGTTTTTCCATCCCATAGCCCTGCTATCCTTTCCTCCCCAGCTCTCCCCTCAAGCACCTCTGCAACCCCTTACCCTCTCCCGGATACAGGTGAAGTCTGGCACAAAGGCCCTACGCATCTAACTCCAGTCTCTCCAGGTTCATTTGCACTGTCCCTGCAGGAGCCCCCCCCACAGTCAGACCCTTCTTCCTTGTGCTCCCTCTAGATGGCTTCTGCCCTGCTTTTGTCTTAAGTGATCTAATTTTTACATTGTACCTGCAAAAACTACCCCAGGTCCTGTGGGCTTATAAAACTTAACACCAGCTCTCATCTTAGTCCCTAAGCCCAATGTGTGTCCCCTGGCCTCTGTGCTCCATTGGCCCCCTTCTTCCTCTTGGGGTGTTCTCCTGTGCCTCCACCCTCCCTGTGACCCCTCTAGCCAGTCGGTCAGTAACGGTTATGCCTGCCTTCTGCGGTCAGTTATCTTGTCTCATTATCACTCATCTTGTTGGTCTCTTGAAAAACAGTAGTGTTGTTTTGCACACTGCCTGTAGCCTTGCTTCAGCACTCCAGGCGGTGCCTGGACACAGCAGGTGCTTAGTCACTATTTCTAGATGCCCACCATGGCCTCTAGAATCCTCAGCTTGGCAGATCTGGAAATCTGACTTCGTAAACTCATCAAGCATTCTGAGGGTCAGCAGGACCGATGCCTGCTAACCGATCTTAGAGAAGACTGATTCATCTGAATCATTTTAAGAGAGACCTCCTCCTCGGCGTGCATCTACAGGGGCATTCCCTGAGTCACAAGGTCCTTTCTGGAGTCCCAGTTGGAAATCAGAGACTGCTTACAGGGCACAAAATTTGAGCACTAGGCATTCTGTGCTTTTCCAGATCCCTATAAATTATGAAAACATTCTCTGCTCTAGGGATATTTCTCTCTCAAGAACCAGTAACTGGCATCTAGATGCAAATACCTTCTTTCCCCCTCCAAAACAATGAAAAATCTCAGACTTTTATTTATAGACTTCACTGGGACAACGTCGCTTATTGTCACATCAGCCCTCTTTATTTTGAGATGTTCTGCACATTATAGTTCCCAGATTTATAGATATTCTGGTTACTTATATTTTAGGCTTATCATGTTTGAGTCACAAATAAGATGACATCTTACCTCCTGGTTTGTAATTGTTGGGGATTCTTTTAGGATCTGCAGATCTCTATTTATGAAATAGTGCAGCGTAACCCGCCTGCTAGGGGAGTCACAGATGCTGTGGCACACGTCTAGGCGTCTCAGTCCCAAATCCCATATAAGTCAGGAATCCAGAATAGTGTTTGTTTGGCCATTAATGAATCAGTGGTACCCTGGACATGTGAGCAGTGCTATTTTTAAACCCATTGCTGACCTCAGTGATAAAGAGGGTACAGACTGTGCCTTGCCAGGCTTGTGAGCTTACCATGAGTAATACCCATGGTTATTATGATGTCAGAACTTGAATATTCTTTACCAAGTACATAACCATTGCATCATGCAGATGGGGGCAGGGTGTGAAAAGTCCATTTTCCCTGGAGAACGCGATAGCATAAGCTGGTTCTCCCACAAGGGCGGGGAAGCCTGAATTCTACAGTGCCGGACTCCTGCTTGGATTTGGAGAACAGCTTCCCGTTTTTGTCACCGGGAAGTTATTTGCTTCAAAGTTTCCAAACGAGGCATTTGTGATGGGTGATCCTCTACCTCCTGCTTCCTCAGGAAAGTACCAGCTGGGGATGAGTGGGTGCACACCTGAGGTCACTAATTGCTGTGAGGGTCAGGGCTGTCCCATCATTGGACACATTGATCTCAGGAAGCATTTTCTTTCTTCTTTTTAAACTAATTTTTATTTTCACTTGTAAATTCTTGTTTGTTTGTTTGTTTGTTTTAACTGGAGGAAAATTGCTTTACTGTATTGTGTTGGTTTCTGCCGTAGAACAATGCGAGTCAGTCGTAATTATACCTATATTCCCTCCCTGGGGAGCCTCCCTCTCCTCCCTGCCTCCCACCCCTCTAGGTCATCACAGAGCACCAGGCGGGGCTGCCTGTGTTATATCCGTCCCACTCTCTTCTTCCTCCTCTCAGGAAGCATTTTCACAAAGCACAGAAGTGATGCTAAACTATGGAAGCTAAGGATTGAACTGTTTAGAATTTTTTCAAGTCGTCTCTAGAAATGTGTGCTCTGATTTTGATGGGTGAGGATGCTGAGCACTGAAATGTAATTACATTCAAGCTCATTAATCCAGACTCATCAGGGAGTCAGCATCAAGGAAAAGCACAGTACTAGTTAGGATGGACTAAGTTATACCGCGGCAGCAGACTTCTTCCAGCATCTCAGGGACTTAAAATAACAAAGGTTTGCTCCGTCATCTTGCTGCGGGTCCCCCTTGGGTCAGCTGTGGTCTTAGCCCCTTCTCATCTTCATTCACTTCCTGCTCCCACCCCTGAATCATCACTGGTTAGTTTAGCAAGGGATAGAGGGATCAGATAGGCCAATTGCACACTGGCTATGAAAAGCTTCTGCCCAGAAGTGGCACTTCTCACCTGGCTACTTTCTATTGGCCAAGTTTAATCGTATGGCCAAGACTTACTGTAAGTTACTTGGCTTTAGCTACTTGAGGTATAACAGGAATTTTCAAAGTGAAGAGCTCAGGACAGTTTATTGGGATAGAGGAGAAAATATTGGGGGCTTCCCAGGTGGTGCTGATGGTAGAGAACCCGCTTGCCAGTGCAGGAGACATAAGAGACACAGATTCAATCCCCGGGTCAGGAAGATGCCCTGGAGAAGGGCATGGGAGCCCATGCCAGTATTCCTGCCTGGAGAATCCCATGGACAGAGGAGCCTGGTGAGCCACAGTTCACGGGGTCGCAAAGAGTTAGACACGACTGAAGCAACTTAGCATGCATGTACAGAAGAAAACATTAGACTATGTATATTTTATTTCATCCTTTTAAATATTCTATTTTTGTGTTTTTAAGAAACATAATAGTAAAATAGAAGTATATAATTTATTAAAAATAAATATCACATGTGTTAGGAGTGGTCATTTTTTTTTTTTTTTACTGATTGTCAATCAGAAATGCTTAGGTCATAGTTTATACAGTAGATACAAATGTGCAATGAGTGTGTTGTACATAGAAAGTGACTTCCATTTATGACCTGGAGCAATGCTTTTTAAAAAAATTTTTTTTTCAAATCGAAGTAGAGTTGAATTACAGTGTTTTGGGTGTACGGCAAAGTGATTTAGTTATACATATATATTCTTTCTCAGATTCTTTTCCATTATAAGTGGTTATAAGATATTGAATATAGTTCCCTGTGCTATACAGTAGGTTCTTGTTGTTTATTTTATGTGTAGTAGTGTGTAGGAATCGTGCCTTTCATTCAAATGTTACATGGAAAAGAAATGGAATACATTTTTAAGGTTAAGTAGGTAAAAATATGGGCTTCCCAGGTGGCGCTGGTGACAAAGAACCCACCTGCCAGTGCAGGAGACGTAAGAGACACAGGCTCGACCCTGGGTCATGAAGATCCTCTAGAGGAGGGCACGGCAACCCACTCCAGGATTCTTACCTGGAGAATCCCACGGACAGAGGAGCCTGGCGGGCTACAGTCCATAGGGTCACAGAGTCAGACATGACTGAAGTGACTTAGGATGCATGCACAGGTAAAAGTAGAGTTTTTATCTCAATCTTCTGAATCCATCCAGTTTCCTCTGTGTCTTCCTCAGAATCCTTGGAAGTTGCTTTTTTCCTAAGCAGACCTCCCTTTCTGTGGGGAACAGCATTTGAGACAAGTGACAAATGAGCTCTTATCCCATTTCACCATGTGTTTGCCTTGTCCAGTCATTCAGAAATAGCGTACCGAGTCCTTGTCCAGCCAGGCATGGTGCTGAGGAGGCCCCTGGTACCATGTGAGCTCCGTCCATCACAGCCAGCCATGCATCAGCCGGGCTGCATGTTCCTGGGCCTCAGCCGGCCAGCTGACCTCTCCTTTCTCCTCTATCACCAACATAGAGCTCACCCTGGGCCAGACTGTGCTGTGAGAGCGTGACACTGACGCCTCCCCTTCACACCAGAACCTAAGAGGCACCCATTTCAGAGATGAGAAAACTGAGGCTCAGAGAGGCTACATCACTTGCTGAAACTTTGCAGCCAGCAAGCAGCAGAGCCCGCATCTGACACAGTGGCCAGGAACTCAGAAATAACCTGAAATGAGCCTTCGGAACACAAACCCTGAGTGTTGGGACCAGCTATGTCACCAGCTGCCATCCTCTGTGCCCCAGAGCAGGACACATGAGAGCTTTCTGACGTCTTCGCTGTGCTCCGGGGGAGGGGAACGGAGCAAGACCGGGTATCACCGGAATGGGTACCTCCCCTCAGGCCGTGTGCCAGTGGCCGGCACTGTGGGGTTGCTGGGTCATAACGACACCAGGACTGGTTTGATGACAGTGACTCACAGCATAAAAATGTCCTTGCAGCAGCCCAAAAAACCCGCTACCATCTACATGGTGTAGAACGGGCTACTGGTTGCCTGGCCAAGGGATCCCTGTACCAGCTGATTTTTATATCTGCATCATCCACACACAAATACTGTAAATAATATTGTGCTGCATTTTTATTATGCTTTATAGTTTACAAAGCACATCTCAGTGTTGCTTTATTATTCCTCCTATGCTCACAATACCATTTCACTGCAGTCTATTTTCTCACTTTTTCCCCATCTTTCATTTCTCTTTCCTTTTCCTCTTCCCCGACCTTTCTCCTTTCCAGCATCCCAGCCTGCTTTCCCCACCATTCCTCCAGTTTTTCTTCCCTTTGCACTGTCAGGAAATGCTTCTTCTATCTCTCCCAAATTGATCGCTAGTTGAGTTTCATCAGATGTCACTTTTAAAGGCAACTGAAAGTAATGAAAAAATTCTCTAAGGAGCAAGGGAGCTGTAACATAGAGTTACTGTTGTAAACAGCGGTCACCATTTAAATCAAGTAAGGATTATATTACTGGGCTTTTAAGAGGAGGAAGGAAGGAATTTGGTCTCTGAAGAGAACCCAGGGGAAAGAGTTCTACACACTTGGCCTTATGGCCATGGCTGGGTCTGGATGTGGTGGTTGATGGTGGTTTAGTCGCTATGTCATGTCCAATTCTTGCAAGCCCATGGACTGCTGCCTGCCAGGCTCCTCTGTCCATGGGATTTTCCAAGCAAGAATACTGAAGTGGATTACCATTTCCTTCACCAGGATCTTCCCCACCCAGGGATCAAGCCCTGGCCTCTTGCACTGCAAGTGGATTCTTTACACGCTGGGCTACCAAGGGGTCTGGATGACATCTTCACAAAGTTTTCTTTGCAGGTGGATAGCAGTCTTATGAGCGAAGTGTTCAAAGAAATACAGAAACCCGAGTACAAGAGGCAGCAAGCGACAGGTGTTGCACTGAGCGTGGGATGTCCTGGTTTCTCTGAACGACAGCAAGAAGCTGAGGTTTCTTGAGAGGGCAGGTGTGAGGAAGTAAGTGTGGCAGGGACTCCTTAACTGTCACTTAGCTGGTGAGGACAGACTGAATTTTTCTCTGCCTTCCAGAGAAGTCATGTGGTTGTAAAGTTACACATCGACATGAAGAACAAGTATATTTGTTCAAAGAGAGGGAGTGTTTAGCACCACCCCCCACCCCAGGACCTCAGTACCAAAACTGAGATGGGGGCTTAGACTGAGGATGCTTCTACTGTCTTTCAACTGGGAGGCGGCGAAGACAGGCTGTCAGGGCAAACTGCCGCTCGGCCAGCGTGAGTCTGCAATTGTTATAAGTGCTTTATCGCAGCTTGAGCACAAACATGTTTCTTCAGTGAAATGCATCTTGGATTATATTCCAGAGGGTATGCGTTTCTGAGGACTGCTGTAGCAAAGTGCCACAAACCAGGTGACCTGAACCAACAGATACTTATTCTCTCAGCTCTGGAGCCCGCAGGTTGGAAACCAAAGTGTCAGCAGGGCCGGGCTCCCGCCGAGAATCTAGGCAGAAGCCTTCCTTGCCTCTTCCCAGCTTCCGGGGCACGCTCCAGCCAGCCCCAGCATCCCTCGGCTGGCAGCTGCATCCCTCCAGGCACTGCCTCTGTCTTTATAGGGCATTCTCTGTGTGTGTCTTCTCCTTTTCGTATAAGGACACCAGTCTTATTGGATGAGAGCTCACCTTAACACCTTAACTTGATTGCACCTGCAGAGAGCCTGTTCCTAGATAAGGTCATGTTTACAGGCACTGGGGGTTAGGACTCCCACATACCTGCTGAGGGATACTTACTAATATAATTTACCTAGAGTAACAGAGCAGCATAGAATAATGTGTGTGTGCGCACACTCAGTCATGTCCGGCTCTTTGCAACCCCATGACTGGAGCCCACCAGGCTCCTCTGTCCATGGCATCTCCCAAGGCAAGAATACTGGAGTGGGCTGCCATTTTCTTCTCCAAATATAGAGTAACAGATATACATAAGTTGTTGGGTACAAAAGAGTTGGCAGCAGCGCTGTAATAAGAAGAGCAAAATGAAAAAGAGTAAAATAGATTTTCAGTTTTGATCCTGAGTGCGCCAAATATTTCTGAAGTGAAAGCTAGGTTCACAAGACAAGTTTGTTGTGGGCTGGGTAAGGGATGGATACCCATGGGTAACCCATGGGATGGGTAAGGTTAAGTAAAATGCATAATTGGGTAAGAGGTGTTTAAGAATAAC